TGTTTTCTTTAATAACCTTGGCATGAACAACTGGGCTAATGAGAGTCAGTGATGTGCAGTGTCATTGCCAATATAAGAGGATTGCAATACCTACCCCAAAAGAAATGGATTTCTTTGGTGACAAGAACAATAGAAATTTGACATGAGTCCCGCACAAACAAAAAAATATTGTGATTCTGCCCTTGGGAACTAACTGCAAAAACTGCTGTGAGAAGCCAAGAGCTCATCAATAAGAAATTACTAAGGTGGAGAATGAATGGTCTGTAAGATTCAGCTATGAAAGAGACAAATGTAATGCTAGGAGGCATCAATCAATGTATTTTCTGTAGATAGAAAAGTATTTATGCCATTTTACAAGGGCTTTCTTTCAAAAACCGTACATGATAATGTCTTCAACATTTAAGACACAGATTCACATACCAGAACAGGGCAGAAAAGTGCTGGCACAACCATTCAGAAGTGCACATCTTAAAAGAGAAAGAGATTGAAGATGAGGTGTTTAGACTAATAGACAGCTGGGATGTTATCTGAAGGGAAAAAAATAAAAGCTGATGAAAGAGTGAAAAACAGTATGAACTAGCCATTGGGCTGAACATTAGCAGTGGTTTCTCAGATATTAGGACAATTTGATTGCAGAAGAGCCAATCACTGCTACAGTGACAGAGAGCAAAAGAAGAAACTGTTCAGTGTCTTATCCATTAGAAAACAGTCACTACATTGATGGTGGTGCTTGATATGTTATAGCTTGCAACAGCAAGCGACTGGAGCTGACACTTTCAATTGTGTGTGTGTGAATGTGCTGGCCTGCGTTTATTTATAAAGACAGTAAATAATAACAATATCCATGAAACACAAGAGAAGCAAGAAAAGCCTGCAATTTTATTTACTTTATCACATTTCAGCAATCAAAAGCAGAAAAGAGCAATTTAGAAGAGATTAGTAGGTGCTAATGCTTCCCAATGCATTAGAGGACATTTTCACAGGAATACTGACAGCGTGTCTTGGGGAACGACGCTGATAAATAAAGATAGAGTAGTGAATCAAAAGACATGCAGATCTTCTCTAGAAGAATTCCAGGGTAATGAAGCAAATTACTTCTGTGTTTAATGTCTGAAGTAGGTTGGTGGTTTTTCCACAGTGTTCTTATTCCTAAAAAAATCTGAGGCACTATTGAGAACAGATGTAACAGACCTTCCCCTACAAATACAGCTAACTAAGCACAGAACACACAATGCTGTCTAGCTATGATGTCTGGCTTATAAACTTTAGAGCAAACAAATTCCTAAATTATCACATTCTTAACTTATATTTGTCCATTAACATTAACCATTTTTCTGAGTTAACTTTGTTTAGGAAAGTAGCTTCATGTTATCCAAATTTCAATACTAAATATTAGCAGTAAAATGTCTGTCCCTCCTGTACTCAGTGTTATCAAGAAACATTTAGGAGTCATACAACACCTCTTACTATCAACTGGCATCAAATCTAGGCTGACTCTAATAGCACAATAGTGACTGTGCTGGGCATGGGTGGGTTTGCTTTGTTTCTCCTAGAGGGGAATTTCTGGCAGCTAGTACAGATGCTAGTCTGGCACCTCACACAGATGTAGATTTGCCATATAGGACTGAAAAAAGGTGAAGAAAATTTGAAGGAAAGGAAAATAAGTCAGCTGTTTTCCAGGAAGGACATTTAACACTGACAGCAAATTCCAAGCTGTGTTTAGTTCAGCTTGTCTGGGCCTCACATCATGATCTCACCTATGCAGAGCAGCTTGCTCCCCAAACCCACTCCATGCCTACCCATTCAGCAGTATTACAGCCCTGAGAGTTGAGGGAGTTGGCCTCAAGGAAGTACTATTATTTTCTGAGGTGAAAAACCAGAGATTGACACTCATGCTTATTTTGCACAATAAGTCCATTCAACAGCACTCAGGGACAAACCAAACAAAAATGAGGCTTGGCCTCTTGAGTACACATATAAGGAAGATTACAATGCACACCATTTTGTGCATCAAACACAAATCATACCACACCACGTGAATGTGTTTCTGGGATTATCGGGAGGTCTGAGATTCCCTGGATGCACACAGGGACAGGAGAAGAACAGACTGATGAACAATCGGCCTCCTTCTCATTGAACAGCTTCCATGGCTCACACAAATCAATTTAACATGGCTGTTATGCTGCACAGAAAAAAAATCCCAAACAAAATCCAGCGCTGCTGAAATTTGATGCTTGCACAATACACGCTCTCCTGAGTAATCCACACCAACTAGACATTGCCACTGCACAAGCCCCATCCCTGCAAAGGGAGGTTACTATGCATCAGTGAGAGAAAGATTATTCTTTTCTTTCTCACAGCTTTGGCTGGGACATTTGGCTGGGACACAAAACAACAACTTTCTTACCCTACCTAGAGAATTTCCCCACCTCATTCTGAAAAACTATTCCACGAGCATTTGTTAACTCATTCAGCACCCCTGCACTAGTCCCTCTTTCTAAATCCTGCCTGAATAGTGGGATTATGCCATGGTACCACTTATTCTAAAGCTAGCAGAGCCATGTGAGGTGTTGGTTGCAGCTTTCTGAAATTCAGTGGGAACTGCTGTTGCCCTGGGATTCCTGCAGTTCTGCTAAACAGGTGGGTCAAGAGGCCACTGTTTTGGGCAGCTGAAAGATGCAATCACACAGCTGAATTGCAGCATCTCACTTCCACAGCAGAGCTGAACCCTGAGGTCATTGGGAACAGGGAGACTTCCCAACACCAGAGACAAGAATTTGCCTCTGTGACAAGGATGGGATAGTGAGTCAAAGCAACCACACTGAGGGACCAAGCAAGGAAGATCTTTGTTCATCTTGATTTGCCTGAAAGTAGACCAGGATTTACTGAGAGGAGCTCAATTTGGAAGACTTTTCCTAGTCCCTTGAACTGGACTTGAACACTGCTGGAAGCTCCCACAGCCCAAGGTGGTACTCTGCCAAAGTGAAAAGAACAGGGCACGACCAGGTGCAGGGGCAGGCATGTCTTATTCCAGCTGTCTAAATGCCACTGCAGGACATTCCCCCCACAAGAGTTCAACCACCCCACACACCCTTTTTTGTCATTCACCCATTTTATAAAAGCCCAGCCAGAGTGTACCAAGGCTTACTACAAACCTGAACTGAGAGGTTTGAAGATCCTGGAGTCACATTACCCTCCTCATCATGCTATATTTTATTCAATATAAAAACATGTTTTCTTCTTAAAAGTGTGGCCTGGGGAATCTCTGAATTTTGCAACTTGTAAACAAACATGGAAAAAGTAATTAAAATGAGGAGGAATATAAGGCAATTAAGAGTAAGGTAAAGTGTATCACAGAGCAAGTGGAAGAGCAAGAGCTTTGCAGAAATATTGGATTTACTCAATTTGCACACTGAAGGCTTGAAAGTGTTTTTCTTGCTTGTATGTAATGTAATGTTACTCTACTACATCAATAACCACAGAACTGGTTTCCTCTTATTTTTTGTCTTTAAAGCTTGTCTCTGCATCTCATCTTTAAACCACACCAAACTGGTTTGTTTTTTTTTACCCCAAAGTACACAGTCCCTGTCTGCAGTGCCTTGGAATCACACCTAATTAATATTTAAAAATGTTTTGTGGACCTATATGGAAGATCAAGAGTAAGGAAATCTGGGATTTGAGATTAAGCCAGCAGAATTTTCCATTTCATCTGCTAGCATAAAAATCTTCATTTATCTTCTGGAAAAACCCCACTAATTTCCCATTGTCAGACAGCATGGCTGCAAATGAACACTGCCTCTGCAGTTGTTGAGTGCAGAGACTGCTGTATCCAGATTTGCAGCTGCACAGCCAGATGGTTCCAAGTGAGATGCCTCATTGTCCAACCAATATGGGCTGGAAGAAAGGAGGAGTATTAGAGAAGAAAACCTAAAGGTTTCTTCAGAAGGAATTTCACTTGGGGGGCTGCAGTCCTGTTTCTCAGCTCAGAATGGGAAGTTGGAGTGACAGGACATGACCATGCAAGCCCATGAGGACCAGCCCTGATGATGGAATTTCAGGATGACAGAAGTCTTTTCCAAAGTTTAGGCAGCAGTGTCACCACCACAAGCCCCTTCCTTCACAGGGCAAAGAAGGACTTCCTTACTAACAACAAAATGTCATCACTTTGAGTGAGTATTCGACTGCTGCAGTGCTGGTAGAATTAGAATCTGCTGTAAAGGAGGAGGCAGTGTGCCAGCTCATAAAGCCTGACAACTCAAGGACAATTCCTGCTGGATTCGATCAGCTGAGGTTCAGAGATTGGCCACATGACAACTGCCACTTACCAACCAACAAAACAGTTATTTTTTCATGCTGATTTAAAACCTAGATGATGCCTCCAGAAGATTCATAATCAATAATACTGAAAGAGTATAAAACAAATCTGAACCTCCTTCCTTCAGTGAGAAAGAAATTTTTTTTCTTCTAAGATTGTTATGAAGCTCCACTGTCATTCAGGATACCCAGATTCCCTGGCTTTGACTGGTCAGTTGGCAAGGAGACCTGAGCTGTTTAATTATTTCTCAAGAAGGAACAAAATGACAGTGGAGCATGCATTTGGAAGGCAGAAAGGCAGGACCTAATGACAAGTTTGCAAGCTGCTGAGCAAAATCTGCTTCCTGTGATAACTGCTTGCTGCTTTTTTAATATTATCCATGATGTCAGAGACTGATCTGCACCCACAGAGGCAAAGACAAGAAGGACAGTAATTGCATAAGTTCTGTTGCAGATTCTTCACACTCTGGACTCAGGGAGGGACTTGCTAAAAGGCAATGCACAAACCAAAAGACATGCAGTGCTGTTCTCCATCAAACTAGCTTGTACCCAAGGTCCTGAAGGGCAGCAGCATCAGTGCAAGCAGTTTCAAAGGCCTCTGCTGTTTTGCATTATGAATGACAACCTAAAATGAGGTCAGCTTTTGTCTGCAACAACTATTTTACCAGACTCTCAGATAGCTCCTCTCAGACTACAGGGCTTTATTAGATGGGTGCACAACAAATGAAATGTACCAAAGCTTACTACAAAGAACGTGGTCTCTGCTTCTGTTACAGCCGAACCCAGGGCACTTTTGTAAGTTTTGGTCTAAATGTCACATACGTACAGTAACAGAACATTCACAGTATTCACTTCTCTAACAGCACCTTGCACTCCAGTGTAGGAATGTAGGAAGTGAAAGAACACTGTGAAAAGTCTTCAGAGACTGCTAAGGTCAAGATTTGCAGGGTGTGGTAATGCTCCAAATCCAATTTTGATCCTTTCAAGGCCACTGCAACGACACAGAAATGTTACAGCATCAGTTCTAGGCATAATCTTCAACTTCCATGTTGTTAAACTTCAGCTTCCATGACTAAGGGTCCCATGTTCAGAATAACAATTGTTACAGGATGAGTCTAGTATCTGCTCTGCCCCACTGAAAGTAATACTTTTAGTTTAACTAAAAGCATTGAACCATCCTGTTATTGATGAAAAATACAATGCATGTGACATCCAAAATGGTGGCACAAGTCTTTGAGTTGCATTGCTGCATCTGCTTAAAGCAGCAAAGGTAAAAGCTATGAATCCAGCAGTAAGGAAGAACACTGTAATTCTCTGAAGGCCAAGTGAAGGGCAGGTTATGGACAACAAGGAGCAATCCAATTTGGTTACACTAGCTAAGGTAAAATTTACAATGGCTATCAATCCTCATGCTTTAAGGCATAAAATGAGCACCATCTGGGGCCAGAAAGAAATTTCCCTCTGTGGTACACTCTAACACAATTGGCTGTGTGTATTTCTACCTCTGAATCATCACATATTGGTTACTGTCAGAGACAAGATACAAGACTGTACAGATCACTGGTCTGTTCCAAAGCAGCAATTTCTGTGTCGTTCGTTTCCTTTGCAATCCTTACAGATTACAATAATGTTATTAATGCTGCAACAGTCATTTTCCAATATATGGTAATAGACTCTCTGAAACAAACACCGATAGAAACTTAAATGACTCCAAAAACTAATCAAAAGCACTAGTCTACATTTTTATGGAGTCTGAGTGATCTAGCAGTTCTGTTTTGGAAAACAAATATCCCAATCTAATTACCTGTATTTTTGAATTACACATCAAGCACATTATCTTGCATTGAATTCAACAATAACAATGGTATGAAGAAAAAGAGCACCGACGATATTTAAAGAAGTAATTTGGAGTTAGGCTTTGAATTTATTTTAAAGAGAAGAAGTAAATATTGTCTTCCTGACTGAGATTTATTAACACTCCCCCTTTCCATTATCTGAACATTTCACTTGCCCTAAAGCACATCTGTAAAGACAGTGAGAGACTGCATACATTTTCTATATCCATAAATTACAGATGTTGCTCTGAGCTACTCATCTATCAGGACAATTTTGCATAAGAGTAAGACCAACCTGAAAATTATCCATCTAACAGAGAATATAGAAAATAATTAGTAAAAACATGCAGTCTGCAGACGTAAGTTGCCTTACAAGGAACATTCTTTACCCAAAGCTTTATAATAGGGTGTGACAGAACACAGGGAAGGAAATCAAAGCTCAAACAACACTTCTGGGTATCAAAACAAAGAATTTGATTCATCAATAACATTCTGTTGTGTACACACACAGCTATAACAAACTCAGTAAAGAGGATAATTTCAGGACACCTGTGTTGAGTAACTTACACCACCTAATACTTTCCAGCTAATAACAGTATGTCATATATTTTATGGGTTAATGTATCTGCTGTAGTTAGCCTACATCAGTGTTTTGTTTCCATGAACATGCTGTGTGCACCAGTGGAAGAACAGAAGAGTTCTATGTAACACAATATGTGATTATCCTAAAGCTGAAGTGTACAAAACAAAAAGGCAAATGGAGGACAAAATGCAAGCAGGAGTTTTACAAGGAACGGTTTTGTCATCAGAGAGCCCAGTTACTGTATCTTAACCTTTCCACTTCCATAGGCAACTAAAAAATGAATAAATGCTGAGAGAACAGATAACAAGATTAAGAACACAGAGACTCTTCTAGGTTATATAAAATACACAACATGATTTAGCTGAACAGAAAGAGGGAAAACAGTACTTGTATGAGATAAAAGAGAGACACACGCTTGAACACTTAATGCCAATCACATGCTCATCCTAAACAGAAGACAAATACTGCATTGCTACATTCAGAGCTGGCTGAATGGAAAAAACACAGAGTGCAACATGTTTTTGTAAAGATGAAACTACAGGTTTCTAAGCCTATGACACAAGTTGTTGGTTTTCTTTTCCTCCTCACCAAAATAGAAATCTTCTCTGGAAGGAAGAGTACTTCAGTTCTGTTCTGACTTATGCAAATAGAAAAGCAAATGATATGGAAGCAGCTGTAATACATGATACAACAATACTTTAGGTTTGATTTCTCTACAGTCAAATGAAGAATGTCTTATGAATCAAGGGAAGGAAAATGAAACACACTAGAGTAGGAAATTATTAGCCACTTCTTATAAAATTATTTCCAGCTAGAAAATAAGTGGTTTATATCAATGCTTCCATCTCTCAGCTCCAAGGAATCCAATTAAAATTTCTTGGCCACCCACACTGCACCCATTAGGCAAGACTTTCAAAACTGGGTGTCTGCATGTCTACATCTGCATGTAGGTACTTTCATGTTCAGATTTTCTTAAAGTCTGAGCACCTAGTAGTCCTCTACAGACTAGAATAAGAACTGCTGGATAACCAGAGAGACAATTTTAAAAAGAAAAAAATAAAAAAAGAAGCATTTATATTTTTGTTTGTATCATTGCACTGTTTTGGATCCATCTGTACAACTCTCAGGTGGTTGCAAAACCACCTGCTGAATAGAGACAGGCACTGCCTGTTTCAAGTGTGAGCACATTTTTCCCACCACAGAATTCCTAACCCTTGTGGACATGGGGAACAAGAGACCAGAGTCAGAATCATACTAATTTTCTGTAAATCAGTGGCAGTAAGATGCAGAGCACATTCCCCAAATAAGCACTTTAAAGTTTAGTGGTGCAACAACTTGCATTAAACCTTCTACTTAAAACATCACTATTTCTCACTCAAGTGAATCACTGTTCTTTAGACTTCCATACAATCAGCCTAGCAAGTGGAAAGATTCTGACCACTACATTTTTTCATCATAACAACAAATATTTTTGCTTGATGATGCAATCAGCAAAAACACCCTGAACCTTCTTTTATTTTATCTCTCTCTCCTTTTTATTTTTCTCGCATAGCAAGTAGATTTCACAAGAAGGTTAGTAATGAAACCCTAAAAATAACATTTACAGGAATAAAGTGAGAACCTGGAAAGGTAACAAATCATCTACTGTAAACACAAAGAAATCGAGGGCCATTTAAGTGAGGCAACATCTTTGATCCACTGCCTCTCATCACCATTGAAATCTGAGAAAACACACAGAAACACGTTGTGTGTCCCCTCAGGAAACTGAAATACAGTTAATTAAGAAACAGATTTTTGCCTTTTGATCCTTCTAATAATTCTCCCTCTTTCTCACTGACATGTACACAGAGAGATAAGAGAATGAAGGGTTTAGGTCATTGTTGCTAGAGGCATTATTTTCTTCAACCCTACCCTCCCACAGTGCTATGAAGAGCTTTCAGCTCTTGTCTGTCCTCACTACTTATTATCCGTCTCATACGCACACTAATACTTACAAATAAGGAATGTGGTTGACCTGGCAACAGGATTTTCATTTCCTATTTTATCCACCATTTCTTTTAATAACATTAGTCTCGGCTAACTAGAGAACAGTTCTAGCATTGCAGTTTTGCATGTGTATAGTTGTACCAAGTACAAATAACAATCCCCAAACCACTCCATGTTGTGAGAAAGACTTCACTTCAAGAACATATTTCTGCCAAACAGGAGAATAGACCAGCATAATCAAAACCTTTTGTCTAACTTGTATAATTCAGTATTACTTTTGGACATTTTTTCCCCAATATGCTTATCTAGAATTAAAAGGATGGAGAATTATATTCTGCAAAGAAGTCTCTGGGCAGGCAGGGGACTTTAGAGAGGAAGAAAAAAAGGAGTTATTAGACTAGGGAAAGCAAATGACTTCTCCAGGACAGACAGATATATGAGAAATCTCTGATCAATGCAAAGGCCCAAGGAAACTGATGTGATAGTTTTGTAAGTAAAGGAAGACCATATCCAGTCTCTCACAACCTTGAAAAATAAGAGGAACATTGGTATCTGAAAGTGTTCATTTGGGGTGTCTAACCTGAGGTAAGTTTACAAGGCCTTGATTTTTCAGAAAGGATGACACACATCACCTGGAAGTGTAAGCCTGTATTTAACAAAGCCCCTGAAAAACACAGCAAAACAGGAAGATGAACTCATGTTCCCATTTTGCTAGGATTATTATTTTGCTCATATTCTTTATCAGTCCCTGGAGAAGAGGAAGCTTGACAGGAGATCTCATGGCAGTCTGCAGCTTCCTTGTGAGGGGAAGCAAGGTGGCAAGCATGATCTCTCATCTGTGGTGACCAGTGACAGCACCCAAAGGAAAGGCCTGAAGTTGTGTCAAGGGAAACTTAGGTTGGATATTAGGGAAAGGTTTTTCACAGAGAGGGTGTTTGGGCACTGGAACAGGCTCCCCAGGGAAGTGGTCACAGCACATCTTCAAGAAACATTTGGGAAACAGGTGTGATAATTGGAGTTGTCCTGTGTGGGGCCAGGAGTTGGACTTTGATGACGCTTGTGCATTCGTTCCAACTCAGGACATTCTATGGTTGTATGATGTTGTACAGCTGTAATGACTCAGTTTCAGTTTGCCATATGACTCAGTGGTCTCTGTGAGAAAGACAGCATCAAGATGCAGTTAGTTGTATCACAGGCAGCCTGCGCAACATCTTCAGCTTATTTTCTCCAAATAAGCATCACTATAGGTAAGCTCTTATTGCTATCACAAGTGACACCCTGCTCACATTCAAACCCTTCCAGAGTCTCTCTGCAGGATTTATAGACAAAACCACAAAACACATTGCAACTCTCTTCTCCTAAATAAAGATGGTGGCAATCCCCAAGGCTGTTTGTGGAAGCTATTGTGGTGGGTACATAATGCCTACACAATAACACAGCACCTAACTTTGTACAAAATACGTAAGATCATTCAGTCCTTTTTGGCCCAAAGTACTTAGCAATCAGAATAAATATTTTATTTTGTTTGATTAATCCCCCAGCTCTTTCCAGTTAAACCAGGCTGTTACACATGTTTTTGACATATATAGCAAAAGAAGTGTAGAACTCAACAACATATATTCCTTTAAACTGAAATTTTGTATCACCGGTTCTTGCAAAAGTGCATTAGAAAACAGCTAATTTGAAGGAAGTGTTTGCCAGTAAAGGCTGGAACACAGCCAGAAAGCTACACTTTACAAAGATTTTAATAGCTATGAAATGTTTGGTACTTTGTGCTGAAATTAGTGAACAGGCTAATTTTTTCTCTGTAGGAGACTACACTCAAAAACCTGCAGGTGTGAGACCTGAGTGTATGAGCATGCTTGCCTACACCTGAAGCCATTTCCCCACCACGCAGTTTGAGCAGCACTGCACTGTTTAGGAGCTTTGAGGAGTAGCGTGTCTGTAAGTCAGGATTTTGAGTAGTATCAGCATCATACTGTGATGAACTTGCAGCACCACATCAGTTCACACTCCTGCCTGCCTCTAGACTACAGCGTCTGTTCTTCTCAGAGATAATGATTGAATTTGATGGCTATATCCTCCAGAGTCTCCTCCCTCCAGCATTGCTTCACACCTGAACAAACTCAAGTGTGAAATGTTTCCACTCTGATTTGGTAGCAGTTAGAATGCCATCTTTACAGGGCATAAAAAACATTCAAGACAGCAAAAGTTCAATCTCTGTACATAGTGACTCAGTAAGTCCATAGCAACTACATAAAAACACCTTCAATTTTTGCATTAGCAACATTACTTTAAACACAATATCTACCAGACTACCCATGGGCTTCCTTGCTGGATAGAGCTTTCCAAATAAGACACAATGCTAGCAATAAGTCAGCAAAAGTTATCAAAACCAGTCCTGAAATAGCTACAATGCATAGTTGGTAAGTCCTTACCAACATTTATCAACAGAAATCTCCCATAGGAATTAATCAAAAAATGTACACAAAAACTGTTAATTGATTAGGAAAATCGAACTTGTAATTACAAGCAAATTTTCCCTTAGCATGAAAGTTCATCTCTTACGTAATTGTCAGTGCAGAAGCAAACTGATACAGAAAAAAAACCCCTTGGAGATACCTCACCATCCCATTCTGGACAGAAAAATGTTCTCTGTACATAGGACATAACCACTAATCTGGAATTTTTTCAGGTCCTTATTTATAAAACTCTGCTAAAATGTCAAAAAATCGCGTTTGACCGAAAAGCGTATCCAGTCCTTTCCCAACGTACTGCTGGTGTCAAGACTGTCTGCTCAGCACCTTTGTGACCATTTTAGCAACATCCAATGTCAGCACACAAATTAAAAAATAATTTTTTATTCAGCTGAGTCAGATATGGAGGCAGGGTTTGTAGAAAAGCCTGGAGGGCCTTCCTTGCAGCCAGAACAGTTGCCTAGCTATAGAATACTTGCCAGTGGCAGTGTCTGGGGGCAGGGTGTAAATCTAGGACAGCACTTTTGGTATCCCCAACAGTGCCAGGTGCATTCTGTCCTTTGACTACTTCATAGGTGCATCCACATGTTGTGCAAATGGCACTGTCACTCTGCACCGCTCCACTTATTCTGTATACACTATCAGACACATACTTACTTACAGTCTTCAGGGTTTTCTTAAGAACTCCCTGAAATTCCTGTTGTATGATGGGATTTGTAGGTTGCCAAAACTCCTGCTGCCTCTCAAGGGACAAAGTGGGCGCCAAATACAGAACTCAGGAATGCCCAATACGCACAGGACCATCCAACCAGATACAACACAGGTACACTCACTGTGAATGTGTCTGAAATACTTCTGACTGATAAGACATGTTCAGTGCTGCCCACGAAAATGTTTTCTCTTGGCTCAGCACACTAAGAAATGGCAGGACTGCTGTTGCCACCCAAGACATTCAGATACTGCTACTGCTACGTATAGGGGAATAGGTGGTGCTGCACTGATATTTCACATTCCAGCAATAGATCCTTCCTCATAGCTCAGCTCATGCCTTTCCAGCCGCCACCCATTAGTAGAACAAGAAAAGGAGGGAGCATGCCACTCCCTCGGCTGCATTTCTTGATGAGGCAGCTCCCTTTCTCCTCCAGGGAAAGTAAAGGAGTAAATGAGGCAAAAAGCATGGGTTCTCTGTGCTGGCCTGTTCATCTTGTTATGGAAGGAGATGATAAAGCTTGTTCCCCCAACACCTGCTTTTATCCAGGTGGGAAAGAAAACTGGTCATCAGAAACATGGATCCCTACTGAGCAAGGGAAATTAATTCACCCATGCTTATACCTGGTTCACCTTTTTCCATACATCCTTAGGAAATCAAAGGAGAATGATTTCTATAGGCTCCAACTGCTTATTACAATACTCTTAAACCACTCTTAAAACACTGAGCAGAAACCTCAGTTTTACCCATGACTGCCCCAAGAGATTCTTAGCTGCATTCTGGAATCTTTGCACCTGGAAAGCAGCAGGACCTGCTGAATGCAGATCATCAATCACAGAAATGTGGCTGCCCAGGTCAGGAGAAAGACCTTCTGAAACACGAGTACTTAGCAACAGACTAGAGAATTCAGAGTTAGTTAACTACCATAGCAGAAGATATTTTTGTTTAGTCAATTACTAGCTTATTACAACTAATCACTTATAACCCTTTAGTATTATCTGTTCTTATAAAATAATTTCTTTAAATGTGGTAGCCATCGCTATCTGTAAATGTAGTACTTAAGCATGGCACTTCTTTTATGATTTTCCTACATAGAGAAGGATTTGTATAGAATTTGTTAGGGTCTCCATCCCTCCTATAATCTCCTCATTCAAAATGCAGGATTGAACAGGATTTGAAGTAAGAATCTCTTTAGCACTCAGCCCTAAAGATGGTCATTTTAATAGTGACAAAATCTGTGGAGGAAACAGGTGAACTAAAATATTTAATGGGCAGGTTGTATTCTACAGAGCTCCACAGGGATCAGGTGATTTTACAATCCTATATCTAAACTTCTGTTGAAGATGGTTTAGAATTTCCATTTCAATAAATGCATAGTTTTTATCAGCGCTCTTTCCAAAGCCACATCCATTATATGGGGAAGCTAGATCATATAAACTTGATTTCAATATGTTAATCATTGTCTGGGAAAGGCAATCTCTATGATGTTATACAGATTATTCTGTAGCATCAGTAACAGACTACTATGTAATCCTCAGTATCATCTTCTGTCCAAAACTTGTTTTCAAATAAACCACATTTTATAAAGAAGTTGAAACCAGAGATTTAGGGTAGTTTATGCAACATTTTTGTTAAGGAAATTAAATTGGTGCTTTCTTTGAGGAGCTTTGGATTTGAAATATCTCTAGAGGGGCAGTTTGGAAGGCTAGTCATTGTTTAATTAGTAGTCGTCTCAATCAGTGTCTGGAGTTAAAGATTGACAGGTGGGTATATATTCAAGAAATTCTCAGAGGAATTCACCCAGTAACTGAATATTATATATATCCTACCTCACTTCAGCTTCTTCAGAGATTTTCTTCTTTTAGTTTGGCAAAAAAAAATTCAAAGTAAGCAGGGCTGCATGCTCTTCTTCTACCTCCACACCTAGAGGAAACAATCCACAGCCAACTATAAAATCACTTCCTTTTTCAGTTCCCAAACTCAACACAAGCACCCCTAAGAACATATGCAGGTAAGGTGTGCTCTGAAAACAGTAATATCATTAACTAGGAAAGTTCAGTAAGGTCCTACTCAGGAATGCATACAGCTGGTCTGGGTATCAAAACTGCTAGGAACCAACCTCTGCTCACAACCCTGGAAAAATCAGGATCTTGCACACAGATTTGGAAGCAAAGCTTAACTATCAGTTCAGCCATGTGGAGTTTTTCTCAGCTTCTAAGGAAACCACCCTCTCTAGCAGACTATGATTGTTTAGTGAGCCCACAATTACTACTTGTTGGAACAGCATACAGACAACAGGGAGAAGCAAACATTTAGTGAGGAGATTTGGGTGGAAAAAGCAGTTTGCCACTCACCAATTGCTAGTTGTTCTGAACTATTACTACAAGGAAAGACTCCATTAGATAGATTCTTCAGAGTTGTTATGCAAAACTAAGCCAAAACACTACACTAAGAATTACAGGTCACTTATTCTGATTTTCTATTGCTTTACAACAAATTCTTGTTTTTCCTGTAAAAATTGTAGTTTGCTTATGGATGGCTGTTTCAACCCACGGGAAAGCAAGCTATATAGGTTATCATATTGTTGGGATATGAGTAGCAATATGGGGCCAGATCCTACTTCACCTCACCTCTGGCAAGGACAGCTAAGCTGGCAACTACTCCTGCCCTGCTGAGCGAGAAAAGAGCTCAAGCATGTAGGCAGCAGTTATCTGGAGAGGAAAGGAAGGATTGCTCACATCAGTCCTTCTCCTCTCCCTGCAACAGCAATGGCATTGCTGTCCTCACCTTCATCCTCAGAGCAGAGAATCAGAACTTTGCCTTCACATCTGAGATGCCTTAAGCTGAGATGTGGCTCACAGCAACACAGCTCAAAGGAAGCATACTGAAAGCAATAATTTTTGTATTTTATATTAATATATACAAGTACACAAACAGACCAACTATTTCTACTTAAAAATTGTCTATGGCATCTAATAAACTCACTGTTAGGCTGGCAGCAGCCATGATGAGGAATCTTTCTGTTTAATTCATAACAATCCTGAAGAACAAAGTAATCCAACATCTGGGGAAATATAAGCCCCCATATCCTTAGCAAAATTAATTTATGTCAGTTGCAAGTAATTTTATTTTCTGGGAAAATACTTCCATTTTTATCATGCCAAAGACAATGGAAGACCACAGGTATTCCTCAAATAGACTGGTTCTTTGCCTTCTGAAATGAGATTGGTCAATAAGAAACTAATTAGAACGCCAAGGAGAGTTGCCCAAGTGGGGATACAGACTATAAGCTGTATTTGCACCATCACCTTTTGCTTCCTTAGATGTAAATTCAGTATTCCAAGTCCCAGGCCACCTGCTGCCAAAGGAAATGTTGTTAAATCCTGAGTGACCACAGGAAAACAAAGAAGGGGAGATGGGAATGTCAGTTGCACAGCTTTTAAACAAATCCTTATCAGATCACTCTCAGGGCACAAGGCTTGTTCTCTCTTGCTTTATTAAGTGGAGATAAGGTGAATTTACAGGGAGTTAGCTATGGCTAAGAGGAAAATTTTGATTCCAGAACAAAACATAAAATCCTGGAGAGCCAGCTGGTAGGGGTACCCAATCTACTCTTGTATTCAGCAAGAAGGAAGATTTTTTCTTCTACTCACTCAAACTCCCCTCCCCAAACAACCCTACATGGCAGGTATCTAATTAATAATGCTGGCACTGGTGTGGAGGATGAGCTTGCCTCTAAGTTCAGCTCTGCCCCATGGCAGAGGCATGCTTTATTACTAATGGAACAGTTTGTTGCTGACCATGGTATATGAAGAGACTCCATCTCGATATATATGTATGCCTTGGTTAGTAGAAATAAAACCACCTCTCAAAATCCACTGTTGCAGGTCTACTCAAAGAGCCTCACACCTAAATACCAAAAAATGAATAGGAGAGAAATTCAGTAATACTGTGGTGCAACTAGGAAATGCTAATGATAGTGTATTTATTCTCATGGAATAAAACATTAGTGTTCAAAAAGCATACACAATATTATAGCAATCACAATCAAGCAGAATCAGAGCCCCAAAGATCCTACATTCTAATAGAACCATGTATTTACAAATACATCATTAAACCAAATATTTAACCTGCACTTGAGAGATGTCACTGAAGTTAGCTTTAGTTTTCTTTCATTCTGTAATTTCTACTTGCTGAGAAAAAAATGTATCCCAGGACACAATTCCTGTTGTTCCCCTCTATTTCCATTCATGCCCACCCATGTCAGTGCCTGCCCCTTTTTGTATTCCATCCATCTTGCTTGTTCCTGCTCTCTAATACCCTTGCTTCAATCTCAGCTCTGCTTGTCCCCATCCTGCCTACTAACTCTTCTCCCATGTACCAGTCATTGGTCCCCCTTCCTCCTGCATCACCCTCCCCTACTTTCTCTTCCACCTACTTTACCTCCACTTTCCAGCTCCTACCCCTCCCTCCTTGCTCTCCCTAGTTCCCCAGGCCTCTCCTGGGGCTGCTGCACCCAACCCCTCCAACTCTGCATGCAGTCATGCCAGCTTCCCTTCAGGCTGCAATGGCAAAAGCTCTGAGAACACAAAGGGAAAATCAGTCCTGCACTGCACAGTGCCGAAATGGGGAAGAGATTAAAAACAGCAAACAACTCAGACCCCAAAGCTCTAAGTGTATTCAGCTGAGCAGGCACCAAAAACACCTGAAGGGATAGAGTTTGCTGTGTGGACAGAGAACCTTCACAGCCCCAGAGCAATGTGCACACACGTACTGAGGCTTACAGCTCCTACTCAAACATGTTCTTCCCTGCTCCCCAAACAGAAGGCAAGTCAGAAAACTTAACTCTTCCATGAATCTTGTGCTCAGCCATTAGGTTCTGACAAGTCTGCCTTGCTGTGCAGGCAAGCTTAGATTTTCAAAGGCTCATAAACTGACCAAAAATGGAGAGCTTAACATAGCTGTATGTAGATTTGGATGGATGCCCTGGCAAATATCAAGTCTCTGCTTGAAAACTGGCTAGGGCTTCAAAAGCATAAGAGGTATGCATTAATTTCAAGACAGGCAAAACATCTTTACTCCTTAACCTTGTTCTCAGAAATGGACAAACTTCCTTGAAACTCTCCCACAAAGCCACCTAACTGAAGTCAGATGCTTGGCTTGAAGAAATTAATCCCAAATGCTTATAAATTCAAAAATTTGTATACAATTTAAAATGAGGTCATGCACACAAGCAAGTCAAAAGAAGGAATAAATTCACTACTTCCCATGGGCAGGTAGGCAGGTGCTCACCTCCAGGAGAGCAGGGCTCCTTCACACATAATGGTGACTTGGGCAGACAAATGCCATCACTCCAAATGTGTCTCCTGCTTCCTCCTTCTTTGCCCCACTTTACATACTGGTCATGATGTCACATGGACTGGAATATCTCTTTGGTCAGTTTGGATCACTTTTCCTTGCTGTGTACCCTCCCAACCTCCTATGCACTCCCAACTTCTTCACCAGCATGTCTGTACAGAAAGCAGAAAATGCCTTGACTCTGTGCAAGCTCTGTGCGCTCTGTGCAGCAGTAACAAAAACATCTCTGTATTATCAACTCTGTTTTCAGCACAAAGCCAAAACACAGCCCTGTACTAACCAATGTGAAGAAAATTAACACTACCCCAGCTGGAAAGCAGCACAGTGGAATTTACTTTCACTATTAACACTGTCTTTATCTAAACCCATGAATTTTCTAGCTTTTACCTTCCTGATTTTCTCCAAGCGGCTGCGTGGGGCTTAGTTGATGGCTGGGGTTAATCCATGACATGTCTCTATAACAAAAAGCACCAGATTACACTATCTTCACTCATAATTAGAACATATATACTCATCTTTTTAATTGCTTTTGCCACTTTCTTGTTATTACATCTACTGCAAACCTCACCTTTGAAAATTCAGCTATCGGTTTATGTCAACACTCTTTTGGGCTGCTGGAGGAACAGGCCAGCCCACTAGCTATTTAAACAGATTCAGTGACTAGCTTTTCAAGAAGGCACAGCCTGTGATTCCTACCAAAGATTCTCTATATTTCTTCTCCCAGGTTTCTTCAAAATATTGAAAAGGGTTATTTAGAAGATAAAGCATGTAAAGATATCTGTATGTGGTCAAATTTAGCAAACAACTTGAAAGAGCAAGGAACTAAACTAGGGTTTATTTTCTTCTTGTTCAATATTCCTGTGACAATTCATTCTGAGGATTCTTGGTTCTCCACATACTAATATCATTAGTGTGATTTGATGGTCTTCAAAACAGTGCACAAATGGCTTATCCATTTCAAAACTGAACCTGATTATTTTGCCCATCTCCTCTTCTGAGGTATGAACTTCAGAGAAAAATGTAAAAACAACTTAAGAAATCATCTGTGTAGGTCACATGCGTATCTTTGTCATCCAGGTCTCCACAGAGCAAGAATTCACATCATGATTTACTAGAATTGTGAGGTTATCCACCATAAAGGTTTCTTTGATGGAAAAGGCATGTTACAGTAACCCAAAATTTCTATTGGTATTTCTTTTAATGTGAAAGGGTCCATCTTTTAGGTGTCTTTGCAAACAAGCAAAAAAAGGTTATCAGGAATGCTGCTGCTTCCAACCAGTCCTCCAGGACCTTCATATTATCATTGTTATTATTATTATTAAGGGTGATTTCCCCTGACAATCAGTAAAACTTGTGGTGCAAGGCAAAGCTGAACTGCCACACAACTTTTTGCATATGTGCTCTGCCAGATATTCTCAAGAATAGCACTGGAATATTGTTAAAGATGTTACAACCTGGCCAGTATTTTCCTCCTTCAATAATGTCAGCATAAATCTCAAAAATCATGAGTCAACCTCTGAAACAAATTGATATCTTTACCAGAACAGAAAAGATACTTTA